TCTTGCTTGTTTGAGGTTAATTGGGATTCCTTGCTTGAACTTGACGCAAAAAAAACATTTTATATTTTACTTGTAACCCTGCAGTATCCCCAGGGGTGACTCAATGTTCATTTTGCTGAATTAAATATTTTGACTGCCCTCTTAATAGCAAATGTTTTTCACCGTCTTTGTTTTTCTTTTAGGTCAAGTTTCTTAAAGAAATTCCTGGTTCCGCGTTTGTACCAAAGCCGAAAGTTGATGCAGGTGTGGTCCGACTTAGGCCGCTTGCCGAACCTCTGATTTCAGTTCCTTTCCCCTACGTTGAAAAACTGGTTCGTCACGCATTTCACTTCAGGTACTTAAGATCATATGTAGACTATACTTCGAGTCCACTGTCTCACCTCTTTATTTTAAGTAGTTTTTTTACGATGTGTACAAGAAATCAATATGCTCTAGCTGCTTAATCTGTTTGATCTCTGCCTCACTTTTGAATAGTTCCGCCGTTTTCTCTCTCCTTACAGAAGCTTGTAGTGCCCAGGCAAAGTTTTTTATAGGGATAATAAATTGTTCTCACTGTATGCATGTAGGCGATGCGGGTGAATTTAATCCAGCTGAAGTGTCCTCTGAATTGTATTTCTGTTCCTCCGAGTGCTATCTTCTTCTCTACTTTCGGTCTCAACTTTGGATTTAGATGATAGCTAAGATGAAATATAACGTTGCTCTCCATTAGTCACAAGGATCCACTTATCCTGTGCTACGCGAGAAACCATTTTTTTTAAATCGGTCGTGCTCTACCGGTCCTTTTCCAACGCAGTCGCGCTATGAAGTTTTCCTATATAGTCAATTATAGACCCATTTCATTCAAAATATACATATCCGAAAGCTATAGGTCTCACGTGCTGCATAGGATTTCACAGCGTTTCGGATTTAGGTTCCGTTTTACCCGTTTTGTATGATCTTGAAGAAGAAAATACCGGCCGTTGGGGCGAGACAAATGTTTTACCTTATACTACATGAAATTCATCGTCTCAACTGGTAGTCCTAAACCTCCCAGAGATTTGCCTAAACTTGAATCTAATGCAGTCCTCTCTCTATGTGTGTGTAGGCAGTCGCT